TTTACTGAGTTCTCAAAATCTACTGCTCTGCAAAGACAATCAACAGAAAAGACGGGTACTCTGATTCAAATGGTTTCAGTTACACAGCGGCTGATACACAGACATAAGGAAAAGCTGGTGAGATATGGCAACAAGCAGTGAAGCAAAGCCGGGCTTGGCAATTCTGGGATAGCCGTCATGGTCATGTTTTAGCAAAGTGTCAGCAGAGCAGAAGCATCGCCTTTTAACAATACTGCTTCATTTAGAGAGACACGTTCAGCACCGCGGTGCCGGCTCACACTTGTGGTCCTAACACTGGCCCATCATTACGAACCAGGTTTTTCTGTGGGAGCTGTGTCAGCCGGAGGTGTCTGTACCTGCCCTGCTCTGCCTGCCTTCTATGACAGGGCCACAGGACTTCAGTTCCTCAAGCTTCTCCTCCTACAAAATACAAAACACCGCAAAAGGAAAAGAATTACAACACTCACTGAACCAGCTCAACCCTTCCCCACAGATCTGAAGCTCCTGACGACTGACAGAGATTAGGAGTTCCCCTCTCTCAGAATGACGCACAGCTTCGCTCAGCTGCTATTTGCTTAAAATCAGCAGTCAGCAAGAGCAGCTCAGTAAATCTTATTAAATAAGCTTTACTGCAGTCCCAATTTCTCAGACCGGTTATTTAATCTAATAACAAAATGAATTCATTGGTGGGACCGCAACATTTGACAAATTCCAAATTAAGCACAGCACTCTTGTGAAAGTAACAAAAAAAAGTCTCAAAGTCAAGAGCAATATTTCTATTTGATTAAAAGAGATACATTCACAAGCTTGCTTGTTTACAATGTGTGTACATACCCAGAAATCGAATCTATTTTGTGATGTAAATTGGAGGTTTTACATGTTACTGTGTACCATCTTACTTTCATTGTGCTTTGAAAGGCATTCATCAATGCCGATTCTTTCTAACCCTGAAATATAAAAATAGCGTTGCAGGTCCCCTTCAAAGAGCAGACTGCACTCCACTCTTAACAACAGGAGTGGACCTGGACACACAGCCAGGCAAGTAAGTACCTTGATCTTACATTGAACCAAGGCCTTGAGCATACCTGGGACATGTGGCTATTTTCTGCAATTAAGCCCAGTTTGTGAGTCTGTCACATTACTAAGGACTGGCTTACAGCAAAACCAGACCCTGTAGATCCGAAGACCAGATTTGACCTTCACATTGCAGCACAGAAATCAGCTTTCAGAGAATTGTGAGGCTGCAAATGGCGTCAACTGCATAATGTACTTTCCTTTAACCTTACAATACACAACTCAAGAGCAGTACTGGGACTCGGGGTAATGTCAGACCAAATCAGACCTCTCTTCCTTACCATAGCCTCCATCTCAGACTCTTCTTCAGAAGGGCTCATATAATCCTTCCTCTTCCTCTTCTTCACTGGTTTCAGCAGCTCAGGGTTCAA